GCGGGCAGGGAGCGGATCAGCGGCGGCGCATAGGTCCCGGCGGGGCAGGGCGGGTCTCTTTCTCTTTCTCTCTCAGCCGCACGCACAGTCCCCCTTGGTGCCGGCTCTTCCCCCGCCCCCAGCGGCTTTCCCCTTCCTCCGCCTCTGGCAGCGGCAGAGGCCGGGCTGGGCTCCTTGTTGTGCGCCAGCTGCAGGGACTTCCTAGGGGAGTTGAGCGGGGAGAGGAGGGAAAAGTTACTGCCCAGGAGCGAGCGCGGGGAACACCATCCTTGGAGGTGTTTAATTAAGCCCCGGGTGGGCAAAGCCTTGGCTGCGGTGATGTTGCTGGGGATGGTCCTGCTCTGAGCAGCGGGTGGGACTAGATGTCCTCCTGAGGTCCCTTCCCACCCTCGTTTTCCACGGTTGCGTGCCTGACTGTCTCCGTGTCTTCTCCTTCCCCTCTTGGATGGGGGGGTCTTCCCCCCCTTCCCCCAGGCACAATCCGGTGCTGCGGGTCAGACTTGGGTGCAGGTTTGTGCCTCGTCTGTGCACCGGGTACAGGAACATTTGTTTGTTTGTGACTGTCTTGGACTTAGCTGGCTGCTGTGGGTTTGGTGAGCGCCTCCTCCCTTGGCCCTCAAGCAGTGGTGCTCAACCTTGGCGGGCTGGCCAGATGCGCAGCGCCTGGCCTGTCAGAGTCGGATCTGGTTTATGGTCCCAGTTTAGGCGTGGTGGCACTAAACCCTCTGGCCTCGCAGGTGGGGGCAGCCCCAGCCCCGCAGGCAGAGATGGGGTGTAGCTTGGCCCTATCTGGCTGGGGGGGGAAGGGGGTGTGACCTGGCTGCACCCCACTGCGTGAGGTTTGGGAATTTGGCAGTGGGGGGGTGGCTGCCTTACTAGCCACTCCTCTCCTGCTGCCAAATTTCCCAACCTGGGAGGAATCCTGTGTGCCGGATACCATGTCTCCACAGGCCACCTCTGGCCTGCAGGCTGGAGGTTGAGCACCCTTGCCCTAAAGCAGGATGAGTGGCACGGGATCGATCTGTGTGCCAGGATTAGTCTGTGGGGTCCCACGCTGCCTCCATTCAGTCCAGCGCTGCCGGATTGGACCCAGAGCGCCTCCACATGCTGATCTGTTGCGCTGTCTGGCCCATGGGGCTCCCCACAGGTCTGGAAATTTGGCATCAGGTCATTGCTGCCACTGTTTCCCTGCCCCAGATTTTTGGACCTCTGTGGGCCAGATTGCATGGCTTCATGGGCCAGAGGTTTAGCAACCTTGCCCCAAAGTAATGGAAATGCTTAAGCTCATCCATTGCTTTTAGCTCATCAGTCATAATCATAAATACTGTAGTACCAATAATTTAACTATAGGTCTGAGTTTACAGTTGATTCATAGGTGGAGCTCCCACTGAATTGAATGTCTGTTGATGTCAATGGCAGACAAGGTTCTGTCACAGCCCAAAGGGTGTGATTTTTGTTTTTGTGTGCTTCAGCACTGCTAAATTGTTCCCGCTAAATTATAGCTTCCTTGCACGGTGGAGTTTTCTGCTGCAAAAGAGAACCCTGGTGCAAGGGAGAATTTCCCACCAATTTGAAGCTTTCTTTGCAGGGTGCATTTCTTTGTTGCAGCACAGAAGTGCTCGTTGCAAAGAGTTCCCGCCATTTGTATGCTAATTTGAGTCCCATTATTGGCCAGTTCTAAATTATTCACACGTAGCGGCTAGTGATTGGCTTGCTAGCCATATAAAAGGCTTGAGTGGTTTCTGCCCAAGCTGGGCGGTGTTCGTGGAGTCAGGACTCCACGAACACCGGGAGGAGGAGACTTCACGCTGTGTGAAGATCTCTAAGCACTGCGGATCCTTACGGACCCAGCGCATTTCAAGCAGGCAACGGAGGTCTGATCAACCTCTAGCCTCTCCCCGTCGTCGATCGCAGTCCAGACGTATCCCTTCCCGCACGCAAAAGAACCGGACCCGCGGAGCCTAGCAAACTTCGTGTGAGTCCTTGCCGGACGACTTCAGAGCTCTTCTACCCGGGTTCGAGTCCTGCAGGTTTATTTTCCCGTCGCCGAAAACCCTTTGCGACGTACCCTCGTGCCCTGCAGGTTCGAGGTTTTGTTTTTTTTCCTGTCTGTAACCGCAACTCAAGCAAGTTTTCCAGCCTACACCACTGCCATCTCGGTGTAAGTAAACAATCTTTAAAACTACCGCTACGCGTTTGTGCCTAATTCCAGCTCGACGGCCTTCCCTCTCTGACCCGGCGTGCCCGGGCTGCTGGCCACAGCCCGCGTGCAGCACGGAAAAGGGCTCGGGTCGCTCCCGGCCCGCACAGGTTCCTTGGGTGAATTTGATCTCTCTTATTAGACCAACCCAAATAGTTGGAGAATATTTATTAAGCAAGCTTTCGGGTTCAAAAACCCTTCGTCAGGCTAAGGAAGTTTCAGCAGTTGGTGTGTGCTCTGATGTCAATAGCAGTGCACATCTTGCATGTGGTTAGGTGATACTTAAAAGTGACTACAGATAACTACCTTTGGGAAACCTGGACTGATGTATAGGATGGCTTTTTCTTCCTGCTCTATTATGTTGTTGACGATTATCTTCTTTAAAGACAAACTTCTAAAATTAAAAGATTGGTGGGGATGATGCATCACAAACTTACTGCTACATGTTAAAGTAATGGTCACCAAAAGCAGCATAGGTCAAGGCTCTTCTCATTAGAGGAGAGGGTTGAGTTCAACTTCTAATAATTGTATTCTCTGGATACACTTAATATCTGAGTTAGTGTAGTGTGTAGCTACCATCCTATCCACACAGACTGCAGCACTGTTACGCTTAAAAAAACTACAGCAATGGAGAACTAGCAATGCAGAAGGTAAAATTGTTTCTTCAGCGAGCCAGCTACAGGTACTTCATTAGCTAATGGAGCAATCTTCTTTGCCTGGAGAGCATTGGAAACGTGCACCCCACTATGTAGATCCTATTTTTCATTCTGTAAATGCCCCCCTGATGGTATGGCCATGGCTGTTTTGGTTGCACCAAGGTTCAGGTATCTTACAGGGTGTTGACTGTCCCATGAGCTTGGGGATAAGTACTGTTGACCCAAGCACTAGGTTCTGTAGATAGTATCCCTTGATGGGTCTCTTTAAATGTGCAGTCTGGACTGGAAAGGATTCTTTTATAGCCACTACAGGTTCTGCCAGAAATAAGTTTCAGGTTTCCTTGGCAGGATAGCTCTGAATTGAAGATGAAAGATCAACCCCCAGTTCCTAAGACAGCCCCCTAGAAGAAGTAAGATAGAAATCTGGAACTCTTTTCTATACTGCCCTATGTCATCTGGCTATGGCCTGCAAATATCTGCTGCTGTAATTGTCACCCCTTCCAACAAACGCATCTCAAACTAGCTTTCAGGCCCTCCAGTCCTACTTCCCATGCTGCCTGCTATCTGGTCTCCCCCTCTGCAGCTGCCTTCTCTGGCCTGCACCCAGGCAGTCTCCAGCTTTCTTTTGAGTCTGCTGCCCTTCAGGATATTACTTCCCTGTCCTGTCTTTGGGAGGGAAATACTCCCTGCTACTGGTTAGATGTAAACTTGGGAATTAATAGAATATCCAGTAATGAGTCAGACAAGGCTCGTTGGTTAAATCTGATATATTGTCTGCTTTTGTCCTTGGAACAATATGGCTGCAACTTATACCCCAGTAACAAATCAGTAATTTCCTGACAATACTTACCTTTCTCTGGTACTGGCTGCTGGGGTGATCTCTGTGTGTGTTCTCTGTTATTATCAGCACTTTCAAAATGTTGTCCATATGCTGTATGCAAACATAAAAAGTGAAAGAGCACACCAATAACTAGACTGTTCAACACTTAACTGAACCACACTGTAATAGTGTCTTGCCACCTTTCTCCTCTTGCAAGTAGTCATTTTGTTTCATACTCTGACAATTACAGGCAAGCATAAGAAGTTTTTAAAGGTGTTTCTTGTTTCCTTAAATTAGATATAACAGCTATAAACAAGGAGAGGTAGTTTGCTGACCCATTGACTGCCACCAACTGCTTTACAGTCCTCTGGCACTGCACAGCTTGCACTGAAGAACCCGCTGGACTGTCAGAATAGTAGCTTTTTTAAATCTGGAATAGTGGTAACAACTGGACAGAATATCATTGTTTGTTTTAGAGAGCATCTGTACTATGGACCTGATTCAGAGTGACCTATGTTGCTTGGTAAAGTGGCCATAATCAAGCTATGTGCATTTTTAATGTGGCTGGAACAAAGGAAAAAGGAACAGATCTAGAGGATGGAGGAATCTAGTCTTTTAAGCAGTAACTCTAGGAAGGAATCGGAGGGTGGTGTGTGGGATAGTCTGCTGAATATGACTTCTCAGTGGCTACTGTGGCCAAAAACTCAAATGGGGAATAATGAGTAGGGATGTTATATTACCTCTTTTTGGCACTGTTGCAAATGCTATTCAGTTCTGGGGTGTCAAAAGTTCAAGAAGGTTTTTGATAACTCTTTGAATTTCTTCCAACTTACAAGGATTGGAAAAGATGCTCTGTGGTGAGACTTAGATCAGTTAGGTTTGCAAAGAGGGTTGGTTTTATCATTTAATGTACATAAACTGAAAAGCTCCCTTATTGAATTCTAGTTACCCTTTAACAAAGGCATGACAAAATCCAGTAACGGCAATGTGAAGTTAGACAAATCCATACAAGAAATTAGATGTAAAAATGTCAATAGAACTTTAATTAACCGTAGGTACAATTTAGTGAGGAGGGTGAGAGTTCTCCCTCACTCAACATTTTCAATTAAGTGAAATAGGACTGTCCAGAATTCAGTTCCTATTATCTGGATAAATACTGGAGGTCAGAATACATGATTACAGTGTTCCCTTCTGCCTTTATGACTTGCAAGGAAAGACTCCAATTGACTTCAGTGAGATTTATTATGTATAAAGGCATATGTATGAAAATGTTATGGAAGATGAAGGTAATTTGATTTTCTTGTGAACATCTGTAGGAAGGCAGAATTGCAGGCTCTTCCTGAAAACTACTTGCAGC